CAAACTTGTTCGCATGGAACCACATCTTTTTAAGTGGGATTCGGTTTGTAATTAAGCACTCCTATTTGTCCATAAAATGTTCAGTGCGAAAACTGTTTTCCCATAGTAAAAAAATATGAGACCTCCTCCGTTACATCAACATATTAATAGATCAAGTTTTTTAATCATCAGATTTGTATAAAATCACGTAAAAGTTAAAAAATACGCTGATTTAACGGTTAAAAAATCTGACATACCAGTACTCCAAGCATACTAGATAATCTCCTTAAAAAAATTGAGTTAAGAAAACATTAATATTGACTTAAGAATCTATAACTTATTGACAGAAAACAAAATAGAGATCTTTTTCGGTACGCCAACATACCGGTAGGTTAAGTTTTATATTCGTTAAATCTATATAAAATCGCATAAAAGTAAAAAAAAATATATATATATACGTAAATTTAACAGTTAAAAAAATTTGACCTATTAATACGCTAAGTGTACTAAAAAATCTCTCCACAAGATATTCGTATCTAATATCCGAACATAAAATTTGGAAAACCAAAACCAAACCGTGATCTTCATTTGAAGATTCCATTTAGTTTCAGAGCATCATTGTTCGGTGATGACATGGCACCAAACCAATCGTCCAAAAACAGCTGGATTTATCTGATACACGACTGGTTTAATTCAAATCTGCTCCATTCAATTCACTATTATTAATATGACCTGTAAATAGTGAGTAAGCATGTTACCACCTTAAACTTCAAAAGTGCCCCCATCCGTCAAAGAACCCTAGTTGTAAGGCACTAGTGCTTATAAACATTAATCTACTTTTTAGTATTTCTCATCCAATTATCTAGTCGAATAGAGCACAGTTAATTACTACACAATTGAAGGCAATTGATCATTTGGGAGTTGTAGCTTTCATGCTAAAAGGTTATAGTTTTTTACGCAGCTCAAAAGTTAATATGGTTTAATCTATATTATCCTATAAATACTAAAAATGTGCACTAATATAAAATCTTTCATATTACAAAATTTCCCTAATAGTTGATCACATATCAATTGTAGGATACATAGACTTTTTTTCCTCCTTTTTTTTTTTTTTTTGAATTTAGGAGTAGGGAGAACACTCTAGATCTTACATTTTAAGCTGATCAATTAACAAACTAGCCCTCTTCTTTACAAAACTTCTAGAGGTTTGTTTGGTATAGGAGTTCGAATCAGGTGGTTTGAACTAAAATTTAAGCTTTTGAAATTTTTGTGAGAAAAAACGGGGTGGGAACCTGATAAGCATAAGATTCATTCAATAGCCAAGCCGGAAAGTCTGCAGTACCCCGAAGTACTAATAATTAAGTCTATAGTGAAACTTTATAAATTTAAATTTTTGTGAGAGAAAACATTATAATAGAACTTTTGGACAGGGGCTCAAGATCCTCTACAAAAAAGTTTTAGGTGTGCTCAACTTTATAATTGTTTGTTGACTTAGTGGCGGAGCTAGCATTTTATTCTAGTGGGGCGGATCTATAATTTTTTTTCTAAAACATAAATAACATAAAAAATATACAATAAATTATATTATAATATTTTTCAAAAACTATTCAATACATATTGTGAATTTTATTGTACGAAAAAATATGCCACTGTAGGGTTTTGTGTTGAAACTTCAGATTTTTTTTGTAATATATAAAAAGGTGTTAACCTCGTTCATTTTGATGTAATTTTGATCAATTTAGCGTTTAGAATTGTGCATAGATTTTTTTTTTATCAATAAGAATACTCTACCATAGATTTTTTTTTTTTTTTTTCATTTCAATATCTTGCATGTCGAGGAGATAAAAAAACCACCTTATATTTTTTATTTGTCACATTTATAGCTTCTAATTTCAAAATTATGCTTCATTCTTATATTTTCTTGATCAATGGTCAATTTAACAACAAAACATATTCTAATTAACGCCGTCAATAAAATAAAAGAATTAAGAAAAAGAATTGTAAAACGTTTAGAGTACTCAGGTCTTTTTCGTACTCAGAATCAAGTTCAAAGCAAAGAAATGTAAATTTAACATACAGATAATATAAAAGGCATTACGATTGCTCGTGAAGAAAATAAGTAAACTTATTTATAAATGAAATCTAAGAATAAAATAAGAAAAATGGTAAAAGTCAGAGGGGCATATATAAAAATATAAAATTTTAGTGAAGGTAAAATAAAAAGTTAAAATCTTTGAAAGGATCAAATTTTTATTTTTTCCCCCACTCAGCACCATGTGCCTCCGCTCCTACTTGTCGTTATAAGATATAACATCAGTGGAAGAATATGCTTTCAAAAGATTAATGGTAGATATATTTAATGATAGAAAGAGAAAGCTAAAGGAAGATATAAAAGAAAAGAAAAAGGAAGATAAAAAAATGAAATAAAACAGCCTCCAAGTAAATGTAGTCACGGATTCATAATAAACTGTCGGTCTTGTGGCCCACATTATATCATATATGTGGCCCATCATATATATTCAATTGAGAACTCATGTTTATCCTCATCGAGTTAAATCCCACGACTTGGTCTTATGTGAAATTCAATTTAATTAAACTTATTATTTTGTAAGTGATAGAATTTTATTCAATTATTTTTCCTAAAAGAATATATATATATATATATATATATATATAGATACACACACACACACTCACCTAAAGGTACCAATCCTTTTGAACATCCAGTTACAAATATATATATATAAATATTGGTAAAAAGAGGCACCTGCATCGCAATAAGACATTTGATTATCATATTTATCGTCTATTGCATAAACAATTTTATGATACGGATAAATAAGTTCTAATTATAATATGATCATCATAATATAAATATTATTTAATTTAATAATTTTTTATTATGATTTAAATAAAAGAAAACAATCGATAACAAGTAAGTAAAACATATAAAAGATTAAGAGTATAAATAGAAACAAAAATTAAACTAATTGTTCTTACACTCTAAATAAATAAATAATTACAATAATCACATTCATCCATTACATCCATGGGACTTTAACTTAATTTTTCAGTCTTTAAATTCCTCCATCTTTAGGTCGGGTACTAACTTCATTTGATCCAAAACATTTCTGGAAAAATTACACATTAGTGAAATCAGGGCATGGGCGCGGGGTGTAGGGGTGCAAGGGTGCAAGGGTGTCTTGGGTTTCTTGCTTGGTTCTGTTGTGCCCTAATTAGGGTATCTCCTAATTTTCTAGAATTACAATAATTGCTATAATTTTTCTAATCGAATTAAAAAAATGGTAAAAATAACTGATCCATGGAACAATATAATTAACAACTAAATCCATCATTCAAACATTCATCCATAAGTAAATGCAATTGTCTACCCATCACATACATACAAAATTAAATATCATATATTTAAAAAAATTAAATATCATATATTTAAAAAAATTAAATATTACATATTCAATTTAATTATCGCATAATTACAGCATAAATTAATATAGTTTATAGACCACTCTGATACCACTTATTGGTTTCTGAAATGATTTTAGATGTGGAAGTGTGATAGTGCAGATGGAGTACAAATAAAAAATTTTATAAAACTTTTGTTGAATGCTACAAAATATATTAATTTACACGTCAAAATAACAAATCTAATTAATTATTATACCTAACCACTGATTTGGCTAATAATTTGAGTTCTTTATGTTGGGAATAGTGTCTTAAAAGTATGAGATGTAATATGATTTTTATTATTTATTTAATAAAAGAGTTTATTCATTATTTTATGTGTATTATTGAATATTTTATGAATATCATTTAAAACTCCAAGATTATTTATGTGACATTAAATATTGTATATAAGTGTTATATGTAAGAGGATAATATTTAAGGATAATAATTAAAACAATGCTCGTAATGAATTTAATTAAGGATCGGAATCTTTAATTAAAACATTAGTAATACATGTCATTCTCATTTAGAATGGAACGGTGGTATCCGCAAAATTAATATGATGAGATATTGAATAAGTGTATTACTCATAATGAGATTATATGGAACCGAGACACATACACATATGAATTTCTGATAATTTCCGTTAAGTATAGAAATTCTAACTGAGTCTATCGATAGTCACATATAGAATGATCTTAATCCTGAGTTATTAGCAGCTCATATTTATGGATTTGTGTCTTTTAATTTACTCAGTACGGATTCTAAGATGCTGAATCTCATTCATTGTATTTCGGAGACATGATGAAGTAGGTAGCCGAGAATGTTAATATAAAAACCCATTACCTTATACAAATTTGTTCCTCATTTTTTCTCTTTTTATTGCCTCTAATCAACTAATGTTTTGAGAATCGTTGCTTAACTAATAGTCTGAAGGGAAATGCATTCAATAAATCCAAAATTATATCATCTCTAATTAGAAATTTAATGGTCATATCAACATTTACGTTTAAAAAATTTATAGAATCAAGATGCAGGGAAAAAGTTGGAGATATATCACATTTTAGGGGGCACAATAGGTTCATTTTAAAATTCATGAGGTATATTGACACAAATTACAAAAATTCAGAGGGTGTTTATAAGCATTTACGTTAAAATACTTGATGGAGTTAAACTCAAGAGACATATTGACATAAATGATAAAATTCAAAGGGCATGCACATTTTAAAATTCAGAAAGCATGTTGCTAAAAGTCACAAAGTTCTAAAAAAAATTTATAAAAATTTTTCCATGAATTCAGACTTTCAACGTACGGATGATAAAGGGTACTGTTCAAAAATACTTTGTTAGGGGTATTAAATAAATGTATGATTAATTAATGAAGAGTACACGGCACTAGTAAATAATAATATTGCCGTCTGCAAAATATGCCTTGTCCGGAATTATTACGCATATAATATGTATATACATCTCTTCTAGACTTCTACGGATATTGACGATCTGTATAATATTAAACTACATATTCATATACATCCAAATCCACATGGTCATCAGAAAAAGAAAAATTCAAATCAAAACAATCAAAATAGAGTCTCCAAATTGGCCTTCCACGATTGCTATAAATAGAATCCTTTCCCAAAGTTCCAAAAACCACAAAATAAACTACAAAAATGTCTTGCTCGTTCAACAAGCTGCTCATGTCCTCCTTGTTTTCTCTATTCATTCTCTCCCTCACCCTTTCCATTGCTCAAGCTCAAGTTCCCGAAAATGCCACATTCAAGTTCGTCAACGAAGGCGAATTAGGCCCCTACATTGTCGAGTACGACGGCAGCTACCGCATGCTAAGCGTCTTCAACTCCCCTTTCCAACTTGCATTCTACAACACCACCCCTAACGCCTTCACCCTCGCCCTTCGCATGGGTCTAAGACGTTCGGAGTTCCGGTGGGTTTGGGAGGCCAACCGCGGCAACCCGGTCGGCGAGAACGCAACCCTCACCTTCGGAACCGACGGAAACCTAGTCCTCGCCGACGCCGATGGCAGGGTCGCTTGGCAAACCAACACTGCCAACAAAGGTGTCGTTGGCTTCCAATTACTTCCAAACGGCAACATTGTCCTTCATGACTCGAAGGGCAATTTTATATGGCAAAGCTTTGACTACCCCACCGACACTCTTTTGGTGGGACAAACCCTTCGTAACAAGCTCGTTAGTCGCCTCTCCGCGGAACGGAACAAAGATGGGCCCTACAGCTTTGTTATTGAGCCGAAAGGTTTTTCACTTTACTACCAAGGAAAGAACTCTAACAAGCCATTGAAGTACTTCTCTTTGGCTGAGAGGTTCAGTCCAGTCCAAGGCACTCTAAAGAACGTGACTTTACAAGCTTCACCGGAGACCGACGAGGGTTATGCGTACGACGTGAAGTTGGAGTTATCGACCGGTGGGAGTTATTATGTTGGGAGACCTAAATACAATGGAACATCGTCGCTTCTTAGACTCGGAATAGATGGGAATGTTAAGGTTTACACTTACAACGACAAAGTGGATACACAAGCTTGGGAGGTGGTTTTTAGTATTTTTGATAGAGAATCCTTTTGGGAGACCGAGTGCCAATTGCCTAGCCGATGTGGGAATTTTGGCGTTTGTGAAGATAACCAATGTGTGGCTTGTCCTTCGGAGAAAGGGCTTTTGGGTTGGAGCAAGAATTGTGCGCCTCCAAAGATAACCTCTTGTAGGCCAAGTGATTTTCATTACTATAAGATTGATGGAGTTGACCATTTTCTGAGTAAATATACCTCTGGAAGTTCTGTGAAGGAAACTGATTGCGAGAAAAAATGCACTTCGGATTGTAAGTGTTTAGGATACTTTTACAATACGGAAACTTCAAGGTGTTGGGTGGCTAATGAGTTGAAGACTTTGACTAAAGTTGCCAACTCTACCCATGTGGGTTACATCAAGACACCCAACTAATGATATATATATATATATATAATTTGTTTTCTATATACTTATGTGTGGTAGATCGTAATTTATACCGAGATCTAGCTAGTTTGTAATAATTTCTACTGTATTTTAAGCAATAAGTTTGAGTGTTTAAGCATTTTCCGTTAAAAGTAATTTGCACAAGTTGAATTAAAATATGCCCTGTCGATTGTGCGTATTTAGCTTTTTCTCTTAAAGTAATTTGTTCAGGTTGAATTAAAATATGCCCTAATTTTTTTCTCTTAAAGTAATTTGTACAAGTTGAATTAAAATATGCCCTGTCGATTGTGCGTGTTATCATGATTTCTGCAATCGGAGAATATATAACTAATAAAAGCTTCTTTAGGTTTATTATAAAATTATTATCTTTATGTTCTATACATAAGCAAGTGGGGAAAAAATTTACTTTGTGAGTATACTGTGGGCCAATTGGCATAAAAAAGGAGAAAATTAAAGAGGCCATGTGGGAAAATTGAAAAAAAAAAAAAATAGTTGCTTTAGGAGTATACCACAATGTAGGGCCAAAGTGGAGAAAGGAGATTTAACAAAGAAAAAAAAATGTTACATATGTGTCCCGGCCACTATAGTGTAGATGTAGGTCTTAATTTGATTAATGTTTTTGTGATTGATTCATCGATCCATAGCCTTTATAAAATATAATCAAAATATTACGATAAAACATATCTCTTTCGTAACAGATAATGCATACAAGTATGTCATGATAAATGTTTCTAGAGGTTGGACATAGATTGCTAAAGTACAAAAAAAATAAATAAATAAATAAAATATTCAACTACTTATCACAAACATGAATGCAATTGCCATTAAAGAAATATATGCAATTATTGATCTAGAGCTAATAAAACTTACAATTTCAATTCTTGATTTCTTAACAAGAAGTTTCTCTTATAAGATTAGAAAAATATGAACTATCTTTAATTCTCTATTTCAGCTGCCGGAGTTATATAAAAAATGTCATTTTTATATAAATTTTTAATTTAATATGATTTTGATCAGATTTAAAAGTTAAAAATTGAAATTACGATAAAAAAGATTTCACCAAAACTCTTCTTAAAAACTTCCTGATTTTGCTCCTTGAATTGGACGTGGGTTCCCCAAACAAGCTAATAGTTTTGACTTTTGAGGCAAGATATGCCAATTTAGAATAAAAGTTGAAAGTTGAAAACTCGACGTTGCTGATTAGAATAAAAGACAACAAATCTGCCTTATCCTCTTTGAATAACTGTTGCTGCTAGAAGCCTCTAACGCAAGTGGACAACAGAGATTGAATATGACGAATGGGTTAATTATAAAACTTCCCCATGTCTTCAATATTTACAAAAACGAACCTCCTATTTTGAAGTGTTACAAATTAACCCATTCAATTTGAGATATTAAGTATTACAACTTTGTTAGGGAAACATTATCCTGCTAAAATCAGATAGTAAAAAGACGCTCTTGCTATGTAAAATACGTTTGTTTAAATGAAACTACGATAGAAATTACAAGCATCGAAGTAATCAAGAAAAATTGAATTTAACAACTTATAAAATTAGCACTTAAGTAGATCAATAAATCCTGCGCTTCCCGCCAATGAATTCTCTAACAAAATTTAAATTTATAATCAAAATTATTGATTTGAATGCATGAACCCAAACAGACCATCTGTCCTTTTGAATTTTCTGTGTCATTTTGACCATCACCTAAATGACTAACATAAACTCTAACTGGGAGAATAAAATGAGAAACATGGAAAGACCTAAGATATATTAAAAACTCAACACGTGATGATAATTTAAATGAGGATAAAGAGTACAATTACGAGGTTTTAAACTCAGGATCATCCGCTATGATACTATCTTTGAATCACATATGAGGTGATGAATTGGTATATTTTCATTCAATTCACAAATGAGTATGTACATACAAATTTATAGAGATGTCAAGCTACAATCATCCCACAATTAAGGGAATTACAATCAGAGAGTTGTCTATGCGTATTTATGTACAGCTATGCAATTTCTAAAAAAGGAAAGAATAAGAAAAAGCATAATCATTGATATCTCAACAGCTGATCCACCTCGAAATTATGCAAAACAACCTCCAAGAACTCCTAGCTCAACATATCATAAGCTTTTTCCATATCCAGCTTGATCAACGTACATCAAGCCCAATCACCCTTTTTTCCACTCATGCATTGGATTACCACATGGGTGATGATAGAGTTATCTGAGATTAGCCACACCTTCACGAAAGCAGCAGATTGCATAGGTGAAATTAACTAATTTGGAAGAACCCCTTTGAGCCTATTTTCAAGATCTTCAAAATAATTTTGTAAACAAAATTGAAAAGACTGAGGCCAATAAGTCATTCAAATTTGAAGGGAGCTTCACCTTCGGCAACAGACCTAGATTGCATAATTTAATCTAGGTGGCATGATACGCGTCTTGAAGAAATCAAGGACCCCATTGATCACATCACACCAGATAAGGTTCCGATAGAACTACAGAGTATGAGTGACAACTCGTGTCGGCGAGTCATGTTAGTGTCAGATAATCAAAATTTGGCGAAATTAACCTGACTCTAACACAACTCGTGACACATACGGATTGAGAAATTCAAATCCTAACACAAGTTGACACTAACAGGACCCACTGATACGAATAACCTAATGCACTCAAACAAAACTAACACAAAATCAACCCACAACTTGTCAATTACCCATGATGTTTTTACTTAAAATATATAATGTATGCACTAAAATCATAATATAAACACAACATAAAATACATATGTTCTTCAAATTAAATCAATTTTGTAGTACAACAACTAACCAAATCCTAATTAAAAATTTAAAATACATCTAACTAAAAGTAGAAAAAAAATATTTTAAAAATAATAGAGCAATATAGCGGGTTAATTTATTGTCAATTAAGTGTCAAGCCGGTTGACACGAACATGGCCTGTTTTTTTACTGTTTAATTGCAGGTTCACTAAAATGGCCCGTAACTTAGAGCTTGTTCTTTTGGAGTTTAACTTGAGTATAATTCTTGAGTTGAATTTGAGTTATAACTTGAGTTAAACTTGTAACTTGAGTTTGTGTTTGGTTGTGTACATTTGAGTTGCGGCTTGAGATAAGAATCTTTTTGAGTTTGTATTTGAGTGAGTCAAAACTTGAATTTGTATTTAGATAGTATTTTAATAAAAACTCAATGCTGATGAAAAATTTTAATAGGGTATATGGGTTGAGTTTTATTCGTCTTTTCGTTGTCAACGCATAGAAAAAAAAATCATCTCAATCAGAATTAAAACGAAAACGTTATAGCATTTTTAAGAATAGAAAAAATAATGTTCATTAATTTGAGTTCGAGTTTCTGAACTCGAGTTGAAAGGGAAACTTGAACTCGAGTTTTAGTCCTAAACTCGAGTTTAAACTCGAGTTTAAACTTAAAAAAATATTAACTCGAATAAAGTTATAACTCGAGTTTTTTTTTTTTTTTTAGTTTTTCACTCAAAAAACAAACTCTTACTTTCTTAACAGTAACCTACAAAACATCATGTCATATTTGTATTATGTCATCGTGTCATAATTACCCATATTACAGCCTTACTACACAGTATACACCACTAGAAGTATGAATTTGGATGTTCCCAAAGGATATACACCACTATAGAATATGAATTTGTTGCATACTTTAAATATCAATGTATATATTTGATCAGGTCCAAGATAAGTGGTACACTAATTTTCTTACACACATTAAATATCATTATATATATTTGATTTGGTCCAAAATAATTGGTATACTAATTATCTATAATCGCATAACACTAGGGCATTTATATTTCTTTTTTTTTTTCTTTTGCTATTTTTTTGCAAAATAAAAAATAATTTAGAAGAAAGAAGAAAACAAAAGAGCTAATGAAAAACCACCATGCACAACGTAATCACACTAGTCCAACTAGGACAGAGTTAAACCCCGTCAAATCCGAATGTCCAGGTTTTCTACATCTACTAGTACTACTCCTCCTTGGAATCTATTATCATTTACAATATGTATATACGCACACACATTCTCTAGACAAGATCAAAAATCGTAAAATGTCTTATTTGATTCTTAGCAATACGCAGTCATGATATCCTTAAGTAACGTGTTGCAGGTACTTTAGAATATCTGGCCATCTTAGGCCGTGGCAACAAAGAAATAAAGCTCACCAAGGAGGCATTTATATGACCTACATACCTACACTTGCTTTTTGACATACGTACGCCTTAATGGTCCTCCGATAAGCTCCTCTTCGTCCTCCCGGCAGTCTTCACCGTCGACCCCTACGTCGACAACGACCCCGCCCTCCTCCTATACGCCAAGGTCATCATGCAACACGAGAAGGGCTTCAATGTCAAGGAAGTTGTCCAGGGTGTTATTGAGGACTAGACTCGTGTTCTTGCCCTCTTCCATGCCCATGCAAGAGATTTTTCTAGGGCAACAAACAATTCAAGAAGGAAGTTTTTTTTTTCAGTTTGAGCTTAATATATAAGTTTGGCCTTCTCATCTACGAAGAACAACAACATCAAACAGCTTGTTGATGAAGGGCACGAGTGCTAATTCTCCTATATCATATTGGAAAGAAAAATACAAATGGACCAATATATTTATGAAAGTTTTTCTCTACTGACTAAAACGTTGACTGACCATATCTTTCGGTAAAATTAAGTCTGTGGGAAAAGATGCGGTAGTGCGAATGTTGGTGCACTATAAACACATTACACTTTCAGGCTGCTCGGATTAAAACATACGTATTTACAATTATATGGTTACAGCCGCAGGCTGTAGAATCTGGTTTTTTTTTTTTTTTTTTTTTTTTTTGCTTACTTAACTTTTTTTTTCACATGAGGTCCAACAGTAAATGGGCATTATCAAATTGATGGTTCGGACTCAATTTATTCATGATCTATTTTGAAAAATGACAAACTTTGTCTTTTATGTGAAACTCTTGTGTTTTAAACCATCAATTTTATAGCACTTGTCAATTATAGAACCTCAATTGCAACTAATTTTAAAATTTAAGGTATAAATACCAGATTTAAAAGTTTAGGGTATATTATACAAAAACAAAAAATATTTAAGATGCAACAATATAATTTACTCAAAAAGAA